TGACAATAAAGCTACTTTTCAAAAGTGGCTTACAGAAAATGGTGTGGAATTTGCTTCATTTGAAACACTCAGTGAGCTGCGAGAACGGGTAAAACTATTAAAACCGAAAGACAAAAGATATGAACTTGATGAAATTGCTTTGCAAATGGGGCATGAAGTCATATGGCTACCCCCATATCATTGTCAATACAACCCGATAGAGCTAATATGGGCCCAAGTTAAAGGTGAAATTGCAAATAAAAACTACAGTTTTAAAATCACAGACGTTGAAAACTTGGCAAATATTGCCATAGAATCCGTTACTGTAGACAATTGGAAACGTTGTGTTGATCATTGTGAACGTCTTCAAAATGAAGACTATATTAAAGAAGGATTCAGGGACCAGATTTTAGAGCCAATAGTTTTGACGATTAACCCGGACGACAGCAGCGAAAGCGTGGATGACGACGATGAATCACTTCAATTGTAAATATAAATGTTAGAATATTAAAATGTGTTATAATTATTGTAAATATTAATGTTAAGTATCAAAAGAAAATGTATATTTTATTATATTATAGTAAATAATATAATGTATAATAAAATATAATATACAATAAATAAAATAATAATTTGTATTCAAATTTTTTAAAAACCATGCAGTATTCCAAATTGCCGCGTATTGTGTGCAAGTTTGAGAACCCGCGGAACACCGAAATTTCGCCACTGTGAGCGCCACTGCGGAGTCGCTAGTTTCGTGAAACCTACTGTAGATCAAGGTTTATAGATTATACAGGTTGCCTCATTTTGAAAATATCGAAAAAACAGGAGTGGGAGAAAATGGCGCTGTGACGTCATCGTCGTACAAACTATAAACAATGACAAGTGTTTCATATTATGTTTTTATGTAGTTTCGTACTTTCGTTTCGTTTATTTATTTAAATAAATAGTGTTTTAATTTGAATAATTATGGCTACGAATGAAATAAATAATTCGAGTTCGAGTTTGTTTACATGACTATGAGGCAACCTGTATAATCTATAAACCTTGACTGTAGATAACCGTAATAGCGTTTTCCATCTGACTGCACTAGTGTACACTACACGCGAACACTGATACCATAATCACATAATTTCCCACACCTCTAAAATTCACGGCATCGGTCAGTGTACACCAGTGTACTCCGTCCAGTGTGTATTATTGCAGTCAGATTTTTGAGGTTAGGTACAATAATTATCAATAATAATAATAAGGAATCCTTAGAACCACAAAAATGTATACACTTTATTAATGGTTGATAAGCCCAACGTTCTATCTTATCTATGTAAATCTATGATACAGCAGTTTTCTATACCGTGAACAGTCGTATAATTATAACGTATTATTTATTTTATTTAAACATAACTTAACAAAAAGAAAACAGCTTGACGTGTCAATAACTAAAAGTGAGAGTTGAGAAACCGTCTTTTACCATCATTTCTATTTTAATGTTTTTTTTTTTATTTTATATTATCTTAATCAAAATGTCTTTAAGTCTGTAAGCACGACATTACATAGAATTTCTATCTAAAGTCGTACTTACAAGATATAACGTTCACAGTAATATTATAAAGCTATATTTCAACTATTAATTCTTATTATTCTATTTTATTTTTTTTTTTTATTTAAAAAAAGAAGTATTCATGTTAAATTTAATAAATAGTACTTACATGGCTTGTAGAAATTGAAGTATTGAAGGTTTTTTTTGGCAATCTTTCGAGTGGCTGTTATTTGCTGATGGCTAGCTGTTGTTTTTTAGAGAAGACTGTTCTGCTGTTGACTGCTCTTGAAACTGCTGGTACCGGAACTGATAACGATAAGCTAACAAATTATGTGTTTTATACCCGAAAATAACCCTCTCTTTTCTCATTAGAAATTTTTTTGAGATGGATTTAAGCATTTATTTCATATACTGTTTTCATATTATAATGACATTGACATTTAGTTAATGTAATAACATTTGACTGGTTATGTTGTCAACAATTTAAATTAATATAATGTAATTGGTTTTTTGAGAATGAATGTATATATTCTAATTTATTTTAAATCCTATTTGTAATAATTTAAAATTCAAATAATGTGCTGTTGAATATGAACATGACCCAACAGGTTTCTAAGGTAAGGTTATTATAGTTATGTGTTCAATGAGGGTATTGACTATGGCAAATGATAAATGCCATAAACATTTGGCTGAGCAGGTTATGTTTTTTTTTTTTTTTTTTTTTCGTGGTATCGAGAACCAGAGGGGGGACCGCGTTAGCATTACTTCCCCTCTCTCCCCCATCGTTTATTGAATTAATCAACAACATTACATACACTATAACAGTGGGACAATCCCCCACTTGCTATTATTCAACAAATAATTATTTTACAAAACAGATTAACAAGAGTGGGAGCCTCTGACTCCCTAGGTGCCGTCGGCTGCAATGGAGACTTAACTACGTTTACTGTACATGGAAGTCAGTCGGCAGGCTCCGCGGCTTGGTGTATTCTCTCCTCCTCCTCTTTGGTTGATAGAATCCCTTCCACCATGATGTAGAATTGCCGAAAGGTCTCCTCAGCATTCCTCAGCATCGTCCACTTCTCGTTCGGGTCCGCCGGCAGCTGGTCGAACGGGGGGCCGCATACAATTTCTCCGATGTCGGCTGTTGATAGACTGTGTCCCAGCTGGGTGGCCAGCGGGATCCGGAACACGCTCCAGTAGGGGCACTCCGTCAGGGTGTGCTCGGCAGTGTCCTCTTGGCTCAGGCACTGGAGGCAGATGGGGCTAGTGGCCTTGTCTCGCTTGTACACCCAGTGAACACAGTCCGTATAATCTACGTTTATATCAAGAGCATTTTTGGTTTACACTTATACGTAGTTAATACTCGTGTGATAAATGTATAATATACGAAAAGATAAGTTTATTTTATGTTTAAGGTACGTGGACGTATATTCCTATATTTCTCGTGTTATAAATATGCATATTCTACATTGATCTAAAGTTTATAATTGGTTTGTCGAGGTTACGTCGAAGTTGGTGTAAAGAGTTTCGTATATTTTTGACATAAGGTACGTGGACGTATACCCGTATATTTCTCGTGCTACAAATACGTATATTCTACATTGATCTTAGGTTTATAATTGGTTTGTCGAAGTTACGCCGATGTTGGTGTAAAGAGTTTCGTATATTTTTGATATAAGGTACGTCGTACGTGGCCGTATACCCGTATGTTTCTCGTGCTACAAAATACAAATACGTATATTCTACATTGATCTTACGTTTATAATTGGTTTGTTGAAGTTACGCCGATACCGATAACATATGTTGGTTTAAGAGTTGCGTACATTTTACGTTTACAGTTCATAGACGAGTTGACGTACCTATATATTCATATCAATATTTATATTTAAACGTACCACATTGACTTTTTTCAATGCTGATCGTACATTCATTATTGTATGAACGTATATTATTATAAAATGTGGTCATATACATTTGATATAAATAATATTAATATATTAACTACTATAGTAGTATTAGGCATGGTATATTTAAATATTTTAATAATATTATAGTCATGGCCACAGATAAATATATTAATATATTAATTAATATATTAATATTAATAATTAATATATTAATATTAATAATTAATATTTATATTAATCCGCGGTCATTGTATATATTTTTAATAATATTGATTTAATTAAAAATTATTATTATAATTAATAATAATGAATAAATAATTGTCGTTTCAATATGAAAATAGTAAAATGATTAACTAAAAATAGATCAAATATAAACAAAACCCAAACAGTCGGCTGCATGACGGCAGCGCGGCGGTGGTTTACGAACGAAGGCGCGATAATGCGATACCACAGAATATTATAAACGATACTCCTCGGCGTGCTTATTGGTGATTGGCGATTAGCATTATAGTCTATACAAACATCTATGTGGTTTTATATACTTTTGTAAAAACCGCCTGTCATCTACAATAGTTACAATTATTGTAGTTGTAGTACAAGTAGTACAACAGTCTAGTCTTCTAAGTTCTAAACAGTCTACTGTCTTTGCTGTAGTACCGTCTAAAGTGTTCATTAAAATATTACAACAATTTTATTTAAGTGTTTTCCGGTTTACCAAATAATTTGACTCTGTACGCAGCGGCCAGCGGACGCACACGTCCCTTTATCGTGTAATACCTAATTCGACGTGTATTACCTATAGGTATATCTGTCCTCACTAGCTTACCTTTAACTTATGTAAGTATTTTTATTTCAATACGGTTATTACTAAAGTAAGGATATTCATGCATTACTTTATATTACTAAATACTATAGTATTTTTGATGATTATAATTATAATTAATAGCATTGATTAGCATTAATAGCATTGATTATTTTAAGTTTTTACTTTTTAGTGCATATTTTTAAAGTTTATATGGAAAATCAAACACTTCAGTAAATATATTTACCTGTAATAGGTATGTTTCGTGAATCTTGGTCAACATTTTTTTTAACTAAGCTGTGAATTCTGCATAAAGACGATAGAGATGACTGATTGTTATATCTTATTTTTCAGTTAGTATATTATTAATATACATAAATACATAATCCGTTTAATTTCTAAAATTTTAGTTCACGATTAATTATTATTTATTATGTACAATATATATATACCTACTGCGTATTTTTAATTGTTTGATTCTTAAGTCCATATTTTTTTAATACATATTTGATGATTTTTTAGTGCATCAAAGTCCTTGCTTTATTCTTTAATTAATTTACTTACTAATGGATATATTAGAGTTGTACATTATAATATTATTATACATAATTATTAATTTACTCATGATATAGTAATTCAATGTAGTTGTTGTATAACACATATCTTAATATTTAAATTTATACAATATAATATATAGGTAAGGTTGTGGTTTTTTTATATAGTTCAGTAGGCATTTACACTAAGCTATTTCATTTTTTTTTCAGATAATATGCCTAAGTTCCCTTATAAACCCAATTGTAGTTTATCTAAAAGTTCTCAGAGACGCAGGGCTAACAAATCAAAATTTGTCAATAAAACTAATATTTTCAATACTATTTCTTCTAATGCTATTGCCCACAATGATTCTACTTTGACCTTTGTCTCTACTTCAGATGACATTGTTTCTACATCTAATAATCAATCTGTTGTGTTGAATAATCTTTCGTTTGAAACCATGTTAGTTAATAATCAATCTAATTGTGGGTCACAAAATATGGAAAATGTACCTTGTCTCAATTCTAATATTGCTACTAACTCTTATAAGAGCACATCAAATGATAATAATTCCCGTTTGTTTCAATTTGAATTAGCATCGTTTATAATATCTGCAAGGCTAGCTAGAAGTAATGCAACAAAGCTACTTAAACTATTAAAATCAGTTGATAGTATAGAATATTTGAGATCGCTTCCAATGGATTCGAGAACACTATTATCTACTCCTCGGTCAGGTGATATTGCCATATCAACTATCGAAGGAGGTGAATATATTCATTTTGGTATTATGACAGGATTAATTAACTTATATAATTTGAATCCATATGTTAGACAACTTTGCATTTTAGAATTATGGTTTAATATTGACGGATTACCTATTTTCAAAAAAGGAAAATCCCTCTGGCCAATACTATGTGGTGTCTGTGTTAAGAATGCTGTTAAACCGTTTATAGTTGGTGCCTATTATGGAGCAAAAAAGCCCCAAAACGTGGATGAATATCTTTCTCCTTTTATATGTGAACTGCTAAATATAATTAATTTTGGTGTACAAGTAAGCGATAGTACTTTGTTAAATGTACAAATAAAAGGTTTAATAGCAGATGCACCAGCTCGTGCGTTTTTGAAGCAAATTAAATCATTTTCTGGTTATTTTGGATGTGAGAAGTGTATTGAAGAAGGGGAATATTTATCTGGTAGTGTATGCTTTCCAAAAGGTACAGCTCAATTGCGTACTGATGAGTCGTTTGTACTACAATCAAATGAAGAACACCATTTAGGAATGTCACCTTTATTAAAAAATTACTGGCCTTGGGCTGGTTTCATGCATTCCACTAGATTATATGCACTTATGCCTTCTGGGGATCATGAAAAAAATTATTCGTTGTATGGTCAGAGGTACTAATGTCCCAAATTCCTATGGTTCCGTTCGATTGTCTAAAGACCAAATAGTTCTTATAAATCAACGTATGATAGTAATTTCAAAATGGATAAGTTCTGATTTTGCTAGGGTTCCACATGATTTAAATGAGTTCAACACTTTTAAAAGTACAGAGTTACGTCAAATTATGCTTTATACAGGTCCTTATCTATTTAAAAATATTATTTGTTTACCGGCTTACAAAAATTTTATGATTTTCAATATTTTTATGCGAATATTAACATGTAGTAAAACAGTTTATAGTCAAAATAACTATGCTGAAACCTTAGCAAAACATTTTTTAAAAACTTTTTCTTTGGTTTATGGTTGTGGAAATGTTTCTTATAATGTTCACTCAATCATAGATTTGGCCAATGATGCTAAAAAGTATGGCAAACTTGACAATTTTTCGGCTTTCCCTTATGAAAACTACTTACAACACATAAAAAAAATTATTCAACCTGGCCATAATCCTTTGGTTCAATTATATAACCGGATAAAAGAAGAACGTGAATGTCATATTTCCAATTTAGAACAGCCAATGTATCCATCTGTTGATGGTCAACATTTTCTAGGGCCTCTACCTAGCAATATGTCATCTGAATTTGTATCTCAGTATTCAACGGTCATCTTAGAAAACTTTACAATCAGAGTTCAAAACTCCAAACGTAGAAGTAGTAAAAAAGATGACTGTGTTATCTTGTCTTCAAATATAGTATGCCTTGTTAAAAATATATTAAATAGAAATAGTTAAATATACATGGTATGCTTAAAGTTTAAAAACACAATTCCTTTATATGACTCTCCTTGCCCTTCTACATCTATTGGCATGTATCAATGTAGCAAATTATCAACCACAGTTCAACTTTTCAATATTGAAGACATCCAATATAAAGCTTGCTATTTTCCTCTTACAGAAGCACCAGAAACTTTTTATGTTTGTGCTTTACTACACACAGCTGAATGAGTGAGTTTATCAGATGTGTGTTAGAAAGTTTAATTTAGTAATTCCTTGATATTTTCAACATTAATAATATTTTAAATAATATAATTAATTTTTTTAAATATTTTATAATTTGTTATTAATTATATTTGTATAGCATGTCAAAATCTAACCAATTATATATCATTGTTGTCTCGGACAATGGTCACATATCATCAATTCCCAAGAAATTCCTAATATGTAATGATGATTTGCCAGTCATTGGGCAAACATATGAATGGTACTGCCCACCATCTTTTTCATTTAAAAACATACAACAGCATGAAAAGGCTCAAAATCACTGGGACAAAGAAATGGGTAAAGTTTTAAACATGACAGGTAAATTAATCATTGTACTATATCAGAGGTGGCAAATTATTTTGATGCTATGTGCCAAAAATTACCTTTTTATTCTTTTTTTTTTCGATCGTGCTATTAAATTATGAAAAGAGGTACATGGAAACTGAAGTACATATTAATGATTATGACTTATGAGCATAAGCCTATTTATCGGTCTTTAACGATTATTCAATTTTATCTGTAGATATTAGAGTTTATACATTATGTTGTTATTCAATATTAAAAATTAAAATAATATATATATATATAAATATTTTGATTTTTCATGTACTATGGATTTGCCATCCCTGTTCTATATCCTCTTGTAAATACCATTTAATAATTAGGTAATTATATATAATTTATTATTGTATTTTATTTTTCTTGATTTAGATTCATACATTACAGCTAAGTTTTTAGTCATGTCAGAAAGTTTAAAAGTTAAAAAATTTGTAATCGTTGAATTTGTGGATGAAGCTGAAGTCACAGAAGTTGTACCTTGTAGCTGGATTGTCGTTGATCTCCAATTAAAGTGTTTTGTATGTCGTTGACCTGGTAGCATACTATTTTTTATGTGTTGCAGATTCTGTAAAATACTTTTTCCCTGAAGAGTCAGTTCCACTTATAAAAGGATGCATCAGTGATTGGCTAAAACAAGCACCTAGGCGTAAATAACTTTTAAATAATACATATTTAAGCAATGTAATATACTAATATTGATAGTATGTTATTATTAAGTTCTTTTATTTTGAATTTTCATGAAGGCTCATTTTTATAATTTTTTACTATGTTTATACTTGTATCAATAGTATATTTGTTATGTTTTTTCATTTTGAATTGTCATAAAGGCGTATTTTTATAATTTTTAAATAATACTTATTTTTAACTATGTACTATACTTATATTAATAATATATTATTATGTTCTTTTATTTTGAATTATTATCAAGGCTCATTTTTATAATTTTTTAACAATTCATTTTTTACTATGTTTATACTTATATCAATAGTATATTTGTTATGTTTTTCATTTTTAATTGTCATCAAGGCGTATTTTTATAATTTTTAAATAATACTTATTTTTAATTATGTACTATACTTATATTAATTGTATATTATTATGTTCTTTTATTTTGAATTATTATCAAGGCTCATTTTTATAATTTTTTAACAATTCATTTTTTTACTATGTTTATACTTATATCAATAGTATATTTGTTATGTTTTTTCATTTTGAATTGTCATAAAGGCGTATTTTTATAATTTTTAAATAATAATTATTTTTAACTATGTACTATACTTATATTAATTGTATATTATTATGTTCTTTTATTTTAAATTATTATCAAGGCTCATTTTTATAATTTTTTAACAATTCATTTTTTACTATGTTTATACTTATATCAATAGTATATTTGTTATGTTTTTTCATTTTGAATTGTCATCAAGGCGTATTTTTATAATTTTTAAATAATAATTATTTTTAACTATGTACTATACTTATATTAATTGTATATTATTATGTTCTTTTATTTTAAATTATTATCAAGGCTCATTTTTATAATTTTTTAACAATTCATTTTTTACTATGTTTATACTTATATCAATAGTATATTTGTTATGTTTTTTCATTTTGAATTGTCATCAAGGCGTATTTTTATAGTTTTTAAATAATACATATTTTAGCAATGTAATATCAATAATGTTATTTTATTATTCATTGACCATCGTCAAAAAAAATGATGCATCATTCAATAATCATATTATTTATCCCAAAAAACAAGCTTGAGTTAAGCTCATGAGTAGATTTTACAAAATTGTACATATTTAGTTTTCGTTTACCTTATTTTTTTTGGATTTTCATTCTTATTTTCTATAATAAGATGAAGATAAAAATTAATTTATGATGATATTTTACAATTAATTAATAATTATTTGTTAATTATTTGAGTTGGGTATATATACATGACCTATAGAATAAATTTGAATTTTACACCAAAATTGTACGTAATATATATGAACTATATCTATTATGATTTATGTCATCAACCAAGAATATTCAAATCTTACACCAAAAGTATACGTAGAATATATGAACTATATGTATTATGTCATCAACTAAGAATATTCAAATAGTAGACCAAAAGTATACGTGGAATATATGAATACTATATATTAGTAATCGACCAAAAATATTTGAATCTACACGGTTTCTAGACCTCATATAAACAAGTTATGAACAAATAATATATTCTTATTGGTCAGTTACAATTACAAATGTTTGTTTATTATTCGTCAAATACACGAAACTAAACACGTAAATTCAACGTGAAATATTCGTCTAATAGCGCACGTTTGACCCAACTTTAAACATAAAATAATTCTTTGATACACTACTTATTGCTGTATATTATACGTAGTTTCGTTTATAGGCACTCGTATAATATACATTAAATATACGAATATTTGTTCACTGGGCAGGTAGTGCCTGGAAGCAGCCGTGTCCCGACAGTGCCTGTGACATGTGGTACGTCAGGACTAGCAGGACCATTCTTCCGAGCCAACGTCCCACTGATGGAATGCATCGTCTGGTCCACGACGCCTTTTTGGTGGTCTCCCATCTCCGCTGCCATGCCTCGATGGTTCGGGATCTCTCCTCCCTCTTGACCGCGGCTTTCGGAGGTCGTAGTGTCCCGGGGGCGGTTTCGGCGGCGAGGCGGCACTGGATCCTCTTCCGCTCCGAGCCGAGTAGGTCTGCAGGAACCGTCGAGGCCAGTACCAGGGCGGCCTCGTCCGAGACTGTGCGGTACGCGCGTATGGTCCTCAGCGCTACTGCTCTCTGAGGGCGTATCAGGTTTGCTCTGGTCCTGGCCTCGACGATTGCTCTGTCGATCCAGGTAGGTGCGGCGTACAGCAGTTGGCTGTCCACCACGGTGCCGAGCAGCTTCCTCTTCCACTCACTAGGGCCTCCTATGTTCGGCATCAGCCTGGCTAGCGCGGCTGCCGTGCGTGAGGCCTTCTTCGTGACAATGTCCACGTGGGGCGCGAAAGTCAGATTTTTTGTCTAGGATCACAAAATGTCGTACCGTACAATGGCTTCAACTGATTCAGAGGTTAGTAACTACTTAGTAAATATCTTATAACCAAAGCAAATTGGAGGTCAGACGTAACACTACTCAACGCTATGGTTATAATTTTAAAATAATATTTAATGTCTGGTTATAACATAGTTTAAAAAAACTATATAGTAACTAAAAACATATTGGATACATTACTCAACGCTTTGGTTATAATTCTTAGAAAAAATATAATGAAAAAAACAGTAAAAAAATAATATACTATGTCTTATGTTTCATAGAATGAATATTTCAGTGAATCAATTGATATGAGACCATCATTTTCAAAACCTGGTTCAAAACGTGCTGCAGAAAAAACAAGTGCGAAAAAACCTATGAAAAAAAAAGCAGAATAAAATGGTAATATAAGTAATATATTTTTTTATAATGATAGTATAAATAATTTAATTTTTTTATAGAGTGTGTCATTCAGAGATATTGTTACCGAACGTTTGAGATCAGAAGAATTTGATGCCGAGTTATTTAATTCACTGACATTTAGACAAGGGGATGGGATAGTTACAATAAAGACGCCTTTTGAAGAAAAAGAAAAGGAGCTTTGGGTAATTAGCCACTATAAGGTTGCTAACATTGAGAATGTACCAGTAAAAGACAGGTAAATACATGGATTTAAATTTTAAAAAACTTATTGATGAATCTGTTTTTTTTTTCTTTAATTTTATTTACTTCTTTTTGTTTTTAAAATAAAATAATTTGTAGATGGAAGTTCAGTGAAGCTACTGTCAGATTGTACACGAGCGACGAATCAAAAGATCAAACGCTTCATACTAACCTTAATGAGACAATGCAAACTATATTTGGTAAATTACTAACCGATCCGAAGCGTCAGACTATTAAAAGCAAGAAGACTGTTTGATTATTATATGAAAAAATGAGTTTCATGTAATAAACAAGATATTATTATTCATGTATGTTTTTATTTATTCAAAACTTAAATGTTTTGGTAAACATAAACTTATAAACTATGGCTGGTTGGAAAAATTTAAAATACTAACAAATTTAATCTACTTTTAACACATAATATTAAAACTATTACTCATTAAAACTATTATTTATGATTAAGGGCCAGTTGTACAGTCTACGATTAAACTATGATTAAGCTTAATCAGCTGATAACAGATATTTAAACGGGCAAATTCGGCCGATTAAACTCTGATTAACCATAATCATAGACTGTACAACTGGCCCTTAAGGTGGCATGTAATTAAAAAAAGCAAGTTTATTATTGAATAAAAAAAGTTTTATTAAAAAAAAAACAATAATTAAACATATTTATATATTTTATAATATTAGATCTTGCAAAATCATATCGGACAATGTGTTAAAATGGAATTGTAATATTTCATATAGAAATGATGTGTCATCGTTCTGCGGGTGATTATAATAATTAAAATCATAGTTTTGAATATATTGGTTGGTAAATTCGTTCCTCTGACAGGTGGACGGTAGACCACGGTCATCATTTTTAATTAGGTCATAGCAGTGTTGAAAGTAATTTGATAATTTGCTAAACGTTTTTGCTTGTCTACTACATATAAATCTATCAAATTCTGTAATTGTCGAAGTCGGTACAAATCTACATGTGACAAGGTAATGTATTCCTCATTTAGATGTAGGGTAATTAAACTCTGTTTAACATTGGTTGAATATGAAAAGGAATCGGTGATTTTTACACGCCTCACCCTAGTATTTAAATTATTAATAATCGAATAGTAATTAGGTTCAGACATCAGTGTAGACCATTCTTCTAAACTTAATGTGATAATTTTCTTTGTAAGTTTACATTCCAATAATAAAATAATTGAAATCTGCTTGTTAATTAGTAATCCAACTGTAATACTTTTCTTGTTAAAAGCCCGGATGTCGAATGTAGACTTACAGACAATTATTGGTGAACTCATAGTGAAGTTATTTTTATCAAATTAAAAAAAAAATCTTTTTTTATAAATAAGAAGTGGGATATAACTGTTAGGAGTTATACATTGAACTGTTAATTTGTTCCCTTTGCAGTCATATTATATACTAAAAAAATCTTTGGAAAAAATGCAAAAAATGTGAACATACAGATAGCCAATGAGTGCGTACAAGAGAGGGAATTTACATATACTTACTAACCTGTTACCTGAAAAACATTTTAAATTATTTTGTACACACTAATTCGCTAGGACTGTATGTCCACGAGATATTAAATCAAATATTAACACATATAAGATAAAAAATTCAATTTTGTTTTATTTTTTTTTTTAAATTCAATACAGCAAATATTATAAACACCATAAATAAATATATGTTTATATAAACATTTAAAAAAAAACATGATTTAACAAATGGTGTCGTACGAACCGGTTTCACAATTACAAATAACTTCGGTTTTACAATATTTACTTAAGACTTTTTGAACAAACTGATTTCCTTTCATTAACAATACAAATAAACATCTAGGTGAGAATCGAGTATGTTCTATAAAACAATTATCACCGATTTCAAAACTATGTAGAATTATTCCACACCAATGACATTGAACTGCATCGTCGAGATTGATATAGTAAAATCCACATTCCGAGAGTTTGTACTTATTCTGTCCGGTATTTGAAGGGAAACTTCTAAAAGTTCGTAACCTCGATACAAATGTAGAGAATTCTGGATACGCTGGCGATGAATTGAATCGTATTTGATCGACCAATGACTGGATATCGTTTGTGCATTTTTGAAAATTCATTTTTGAAGAAATTAAATAACTTATACAATTTAATAAAACTTTGAGAAAATAAAGAAAAATGAGACACAACTTGAGTGAACGATAGATCATTAGTAACCGAATATAATTAAAAAAAATAATCAACTTTAAAAATTATTGTAAATTTGTTTATCAAATTTTAGATAAAAAAAACAGTGTAACCAACACGAGTAAAAAAGAAAAATATTAAATATTTTTTTTGCGTGAGACGAAATTTGGTAGACAATCAGTGTGAAATGTGTTACACGGTAAATCTGTGTGCTCCAAGCGGACATTCCCCCCTTGAACTTTTTTTTTCCCTGGAAAAGCTGGCTGTGAACATACAAATATATACTACTCGCAAGCCAATAATCACGGGTTTGAGTTTTTTTAATTTTCATAATTTTGACGTCAGATATCAAATTTAAATATTTTTCACTATATAAAATAGCACTATTATTTTTGTACACACGTTTTTCAATTGATTCGTAAAATTTTTGTTTCATAAGAATCATTGTTTCATCCATATTGAATATATTTTTTAAAAAAATGATCAAAAAATTAAAACACATGTAGGTACTACAGCTATATAATGCGTTAAATGTATAACTATGGTGTACTGCAAACAACTGGACGAGAAACAAACATATTATATGTTCTACCACAACGAAATAATAAATTGATCGGAACGTTTTGTTAGATTTGATCGTCACTTATTATTGACGTTATCTCGCCTTATCTTAACGAAATCTAATATATAAATTATAAACTATAACTGAGCAATCGGGGAATTCATAAAATACCTAGTTAAATTTAATATTATATGTTTTATCGCATTGATTTGGTTAATTTATGTAATAGCTAGGTATTTCATGAAATATCGCCTTTAAATACTTCAACGCTAACATATACATGGTGATACACTATATGTATACATGATTTGGTAAACAAATAAATAGGAACTTTCTTAAAAACCGAAACTGCTCTACATACCTTTTTTTTATTTCATGGTGGCTACTGACTGGGCGCAGAAGACTCAAGACTGATCAGTGAACAATATATTTTTCACTTTGCATCTTATTCGTTCATAAATAGGTCATTAATATTATTTAACGAATTTGTATGCTCAAAATCAGCATGTTATCTCACTGGACAGAATATAATTTGTAATATTGGCTATTTGAAAATAAATAATCTCATATTGGTCACTATAGAAGCAAACTGAATGACGCAATATAATAATCTTATACATTTTTATGATCAGAACAAATTAAAATTGCACAGGAAGTTATAATTAATTTCAAAATTTTATTACACTTAAGCAACAATGACTAATAATAATCAATTTGAAAAGTTGTTGCTGGAGGCGTGGGAACGGTGCACGGACGACGAAACTTTGCGTGAGTCGGCCACGTACAAATGTGCAAGACAGATGTTGGCAAAATTGACGTGCTCCGGTCGACGAAACAATGAAGAATTATGTAAACTTAAGTCGTTGATCAGTGCGCTGAGAGCCGGTAATGAAGTCTGCTGTCCCAAAGAGAAATTTGATGGAGAAGAAGCATGTTGCCGTTTGGAAGTCGTTGAGTTGTGTTGCCCGGAAGAGAAGCTGCCAAACGAAACTTGTGAGCGTTCAAATGACGATGAAATGTGTGGGATATCCTTATCCAAGACTACAGAAAAACCTGAACAGGTTATCTACCCGCAGTTGCCCTTTCCAGACACTGATGCTGATTGCATACTGAAGTCGTCCTTGGTGACTGCAGAAGACAACGTCGGTATGCAACAGTTCTTTCGGGACGTGGCCGTGAATACTTGTGATCGCGGTGATTTACTAATGCGTGTCACGCGAGACGTGTTGACAGACTTTCGGTTTTTTGTCGACAGCGTCTTCAGCAACCGCGTGACACAGATTGGCATGGTGCTTGCGCGTGAGCACATGTCTATACGCGACCGGTACGCGGAGCTCGAATCCCGGACATTAAACCGGGCTCAGTTGTCAGTGTTTCACGTCAAGGAAGTGATGCCTACATTTGACTGGCAGCGGTACTCATCGGAACCAGGCTACATCAAGTCTGTGGTGGTATCGAGTTGTCTGCAAAACGCTCGGGCGGAAGACACGGATGAAGATGCTCGGGGAAAGGGGCTGCTTTACCAGCTTAACTGGCTCCGGTCCGAAAATGACAGAGCCGACAGCGAGAACCACTGTCTGCATGAACAGCACGCCAAGCTCACGGCTGAACTTTCCACGATCAATGGCAACATATCATCAGTTCAGTGCCGGGCAGCCAACGACATAGCATGTCTGTCAGATCAGCTGGAGAAACTTCGATCAAAGTCTTGTGAACAGATGGCAATTATAGACAAGCTTATGGAGGATATACAAATATCCATTCAAAATTCAAAAAAGGGGACAAAGGTAGCAGTGACGACGCGACGTTGTATTTGATTTACTCGTGGCTCTGTTACTGCAGCGATTCAACTAGACAGATTTAACGCTACCCACTGCATGCGAAGCTTTTCAGAAAGTAGCTATAAATTATATTGGAAATTACCTACAACTATTATTGTATATGTACAATATTATGGATTATGATTTGATAAAATATACTCATAACAATATTATAATATACAGCATAATAGTTCACTTTTGTTTTAGATATTCAAAAATGATAATATTAAATTTGGACAGCATGCCTCGTCACCCAGCCTTAAACTTCCATGAACATATTTTGTCATGTCCACTTTGAGCTTAATCATGATAGACATTTGGTAAAATCATATCACCTCTGTAAATATACGTTTCTGTGATGCCAGTTTGGCTGACAGCTTGTCATTCCGTTTGTTCAAAAAGCTTGTCTCCTTAGTTTATCTTTTTGGTATCGGAGATGAAATAGTTTAATTGTAACAGTAGTCTCTTGTTCATGGACACCGTCCACTAATAAGTTCTGAATTCACAGAAGCATCAATTGGAACTTACTTGCTAACCAGAACTATATTGATCTGAGTCAACTAGTGGCTAAAATTGTCGACAAAAAGAAATGGAAGCCCCTAAGAACGTCGCATTAGAAATTCCTAGGTTGCTTACTTGCGTGTATATGCATGGCTACTAATTTAACTTAATGACAATTTTTGCTTAGCACACACTCAAATTTATCATTTTTTTTTTATTCTAAAGCCATGTCATTAAACGTTTTAAACATCATAGTGGAAAAAAATCGGTGGTCAGACCTAATTTTAAACATGACAAATTACATAGGTATCATCACAGTTGTACTAGATTTTCGCAGTAGATACGCATCTTTTTCACTTCCGGCCTATATCGTAGTTTCCACTTCTCATTGTATGATTTTGTTCTATGTTATATATGTATGTATATGATTGACAGCCAATAAGAAGTGGATTACTACGATGAATATGAAGTAAAGAGAGGAGGATACGTATCAAGATACTGTGATGATACCTATCTAATTTGTCATAGTTTAAAGTTATCTAACTATTTTATTTTATTTTACTCAAATACCAATGGAATAGTTAAATGTTCATAATTTGCACTTTTATTTTTAAATGGAAATAATACAATGCTCAAAAAGAAATTATTTTAAAGTTTTTTGAGTTTTATACGTTAGTAGTAATATATTTGTATTTTATATTAATATTTGTAAATATGTACCATTCTTGGCACACCTCATTTTATAACAGTAAAAGGTCACAAAGAAAACAATGTGCAAAAATATCGAAAAAAAAATGAAATGCAATAATAATTAAAATATTTGTCGCAAAACTAATGAAATTCAAAAATAATAAAAATATTTTCCGCAAAACTTAATTATTAATAATTAAAATCGAAATTCAATATAGTGTATTAAAAAATATAATTGAAATAGTCAGTAGTCACATGGGTTATGATGACTTAGGTAATATTGTAATAACTAGCTAGGTATTAACAAATATTATATTATCTGGCATCCGCAGCAAAGATTGAAAAAGTGACAAATGACGATAGTCAATAAGTTACGGTGCCCACTACATAGCTATATAGCGTGCCCCACTTTCTGCGGGTTCGGCTTCACCGAAATCCGAATTGGAAAAACCAGTGATAGTGTTAATAACAATGGGATATAACTATTTAGGGATATTGGTAAGATTATAAATAAAGTGATAATATTATAATTGCCGAGTGCAGCTGCGTGTTAACGAGTAAACAAGATTAATTCAATAGAACAATAATTGAACATTGAATAAATATTATTTTGTAACAATGCATACATGTTAAACTTTTAACATTTCAGTAATGTTACTTTAGATATTATTTTTATGGAACAATTATACGACATTGCATTATTGTTACTTAGTAACATTTTATTGTGATCGAAACTTAACATAGCAGCAACATTTTGTAACTTAGATTGCACAGTGGGTACGGACTTGCGAAATTCCTAATCTATTCTGGGTATTACTATAATATACTGACAGATAATTTGTGACTGTCAATTTTATTATAATAAACCATACTATTTCTATATTGAATTTCTCTCATATAACGCTATCGCATTTATCACATCCGCCTATTCTACATGATTGCTAATCTACTGTGGTATTATTTTGAATATCGTTTCTCCTTGAGCCTTACATTTATTAATCGAAATTTTGTTTACGCGTTCGTTTTTGGCGTTATACTCCCCATGGTTTCTTTGATTAAGTTCAACCAAAAAGGTTAACTAGTTTCTATTTGATATATCTGCAGACCATTACCTATCTACTGTATATTATGATAAATATGTTACCTGTCGGGACTTTAAATGTTGCGTAGTAACTCGCTTACTACAGTAGGTCTTCTTTTTCTACGGCTGAACAAGCTAAATCGTAAGCTTTAATGAATTGGTACACGTCCCGTTCGCCCCTACATGTGGGAATCATGAGGGTGGCTTTGTCTAACGGCATTTTGGTAGGCATTTAGATTTTTCTGATTCGTTCAGCGGGTTCTAACTGTAAATGTACAATTCCTTTCTGAGTACGAGTTCCTATTTGTCTTAGTTAAGTTTCACTAACTATTATCTGTCGTATGCTTGTATTCAATAAATTATTTTCTATAATAGCTCCTCAATATTTTAAATCTATGGAATATTGATAACCTTCTTCTGTACTTAAATCAACTAATAATTCCTTATCATCAACTATTGTTGTGTCGTCAACTGGTTCGTAAACAGTTTCTTTAGAACCAGTTGTTTCCTCACTTGACTCACTCTCCTTGTTGTTAATTATATCAGAACTTGTTGCTTTAATTAATACGACTTCCCTAGATTCCTGATCTACTAATTGTAAGCTTTCAGATTCACTTTCAGTTAATCTAGCGTATTATTATCCTTCTGACTCATTAATCAATAGTCATATTAACTTAATTAAATAATGTAACGAATTCAGTATAAACAGAATTAAAATGTAATTGACACACTAGAGTAAGATAATTTGAATCGTACGCTAATAATTAATTCGTTGATGAAATTTATTTAAATATATAACAACAACAATACGAATAATTAACAATAAGTAAATAAATGATTAAACAAACAATCTAAATAAATTAGCAAACAAATAAACAAATAAATAAATAATAACAACATTACTTAGTTATTTATAATTAACTCGGTTGTTCCAATAATTTATTCAAACCTATTTATTTAAAGTAAATTAATTAATAATAAAAATTTTAACTTAACTTTTCTAACTTAGAATTAATTTTAATTAATTAATTAATACGATTTAAAAATAAACTTAATTTAAATAGTTACTCTTATTTTTTTTTGCATTAATTCAAATTAATTAGCCAATACGACATCTATTCAAAAATAGTAACTCTTATTAACTGATTCAATTGAATTAACTATAAATATTTTTTTTTATAAAATCAACCTATTCTTTTCAATACGTAAGGACTTATTTAGGCCTTATAAAATAAAATCCAAAATTATGGACTAACTGTCTTCAAATAATTCACAATATCAGGACTTACTTCGCGGCCTATAAATAAATTCAATGAACTCGACTTCAAATTGTCGTAAAATTCAAAACACGGAAGGACTTACAACACGGCCTGTATAGAATCAATAAAATCTCAACACAGACAACAATATTGTCTAAATCAATTCACAAAATATAAGGATTCCTTTTGGCCTTTAAATAAAATTCACAAAATATAAGGACTTACTTCACGGCCTATAAATAAAAATTCCCAATAAATTCTCAATATATATTCAACAATAAATACTTAACCCCTTTTATTAAAATAAATATTTTATAATAATTCTTAAAATTACTATAATAATCAACACAAACTATTTTAATTAATTACCACGTAAAAATATTGAACTGTAGTCCTAAATATCAACCTAAATAAATTCAACTATTTATATAAAAATAATAAATAATTTAATCAAGTAATTTTAAAATAAAATTTCTTAAAATAATTATTCTCTGAAATAATAAATGAAATAAAACAAAAATTCCCTTTAAGTATATTTTCTAAAACAATTAATCTAACACAATTTAGTTCCATTAACAAATGCGTACAATAGAAATTGTTCAGCTTAAATACATTTTACTATTTGATATAAATGTTCTATAAATAATCAATCATAAAATTATTTGAATATGAAAATAAAATTCCGAACAGTTAAAGGTTAGGATATAATATCAATTTGTACTTATTGTGTTATTCGTGTTTCCTAGAATATGGATTATTACATGCATATACTTATCAAGTGTTTAATACGCGTCGCGTGGTAATTTTGATATTATTACTATTAGTCCTAATGATGTATGCCATCCGGGGTTACGTGTTCCCTGCAGCATTTGTGTCTATTATTGGATATATTATTATAATTATTATTATATACGTAGTCGCAACTCGTTACAAACAGTATATTTTGTGAAAGCTGTTTGAACGTCTTCCAGCAGAGCACCCTCTTTGAAACCTACATAAAAATAAATAGGAGACGGTATTAAATCAATTTTGAATTAATCTAAGTGAACACATTGACCAGTTTCGGGATATGAATTTTCCAAGTGGGTACTCCCAACCGTGTGCCCGGTAGACGGTTATCCGTTAAACAGTATATTTTAAAATTGTTAAACTTAGAACCTTTAAATGTACGTAGACACTTATCATACAACACCTATCTCACCAAATTGCTAAATAACAAGATTGATGATTCATTTTTATTAAGTAAATTAAATTTCAAAATCAAAAACCACTACACTCGCAACAATCATTTATTTTATATTCCTCATTCATCTAAAAAGTATACGTCATACGACCCCATAAATATTTTAATGTCTTCGGGAAATAGTAAATTATTTTAATAAACATTGAATGTATTTCTATTATTATTATTATTATTATTATTATTATTATTACTATTATTATTATTATTATTATTATTATTATTA